TAAGATACGGAATGTTTGCTGGTAAAGATTTCAAACCAGGAGAAGTTTTTGGAATTTACACCGGTAAAAATATTATTTATTGATCATTACGATGAATTAATACTTTTTAAATTAGTTAATAATTTATTTAATAAATAACATTAGGTCTGATAACTCCTAATTTACAAGATCTTGAATATGGTAAAATTTAACTATTCCGTTAATTATTAATATTAATAATCAATAATGATGATGATGATGATGATAATAATAATAATAATAATAATAATAATAATAATAATAATAAATTTTTAGCATGGGAATTTAATTATCTTGTTGACCTTAAAGATTATAACGATCAAAAAATAAGGGCTTGTATTGATGCTAAACATTTTGGAAATTATATGAGATTTGCTAATCATAAAGACAGTAAGTTACCAATTTTTTATTTTATTTTATCGTAACTAATTAATTAATTTTCAAATACTTGAATTTTCAATTGATTATCAGAAAATCAAAATGGAGGACAACAATATGTTATGCATAATGGTATATGGCATGTACTTTATTTGGCTCAGGCTCACATCAAAGTAAGCATTGTGTATTTACGATACTTATGATATTTATTATATTTATTATTTCAGACCTAATTGTTGTTATTACTATTTAATTCCCTGTCTACTAGGCCAATGAACAAATATTTGTTAATTATGGTCCGGGATATTGGGAAAATAAGAAAAAATATGAATTCTAAAATCATATTAATTATACGAAATTAATTATTAACTAAAACAACAACAACAACAACAACAACAACAACAACAACAACAATAGATTTTTCTAGACTTTTTATTTATTTAAAAAAAATTTTTATTTTATTCAATATCTCTATTATCAATGATGATATGAGAAAAAGTAATGGCAGCAATGTTGGTAATGGGAATGGTAAAAATTATCTTATAATTATAATTTATTAATAAACATAAACATTTTTTCGTTACTTTCTTTTAAAGAAAAATATCTAATAATAATAATTAAAAATCTTGGATCATGCATGATATTTTCAAAATATCGATTTCATTTCTTCTTCCGAACGAATAATTTTAACATAATCAATTCTACTGTAAAAAATTTCCCAATTCTTATAATAAAACTAATAATGCCATAAAACTTTTATAAGTTTTTGGAAATGTTTTGATTTTTGTAATCACAGTGAATTTTTCTAGGTGCTTATCAAGCTCTCTTGCTTTATCAAATTTTTCCAGGTCATTTATCACCCAAAGAATGGCCTGAATTAGCCCTTAAATCAATCTAATGTATTCAATTGGCTGTTTTCTTAATAACAAAAATTGATCCCGAGCTTTATTTCTTTGACTGATTATAGTATTTTTCAAATTTAATAAAATAGTTGGTTAAATCCATAAGTTCAACATTTGAAAATAATGGCCTCACATGTTCTTCTTTTTACTTTTACAATGTAGTTTTTCATTGCCATAAATTTCTCAGGTAATTTTCCATCATCTTGCCAACCTTTTCAGATTTGAAATATTAAAAAAGCCATTCACATTTTTGGCTTATCCACTTTGCGTTTCCCCTTTTTTAAAGTTTCGAATTCGATTTAAATTAAGGTATTTTCTATTGACGAAGGACTCATCCATCCATCCCATATATAGTAATAAATATAAAAATATAGAGACCTGTTTGCTTGGATACTGAAACGAGATCTTTTCTTCCTACGATATAAATAACGATTAGATAGATAATATAGGGGATAATGATTCAATGATTATTAATTTATTGATTCGTTAATTTTATCTCTTCTTACTACTGCAATAAATACTTACTAAATTGTACATAAAGAAAATCATTGCTAATAACTTTTGAAAAGGTTCAGTTCAAGAAAAAGTCAGAGGTGAGATAAATAAACAAATTAAATATTGTCTATTTATCATTTGTGAGAATTCATTCATCCTAAATCGAAGAATTGTTACAGGAGAAATATACGAGTAGAATTATTATCGGGAGCAGAATAGATTGATTACAAGAAGTAATATTAATATGTTCGAGTATAAGTATATATTAACAACCAATTAAATTGAATACGCAATAGTGATTTTCAATTGGCTCTTCAAAAAGCGCGTGATTGATTTAAAGGGGCGAAAAAAATTTTTCGTCTTTTTTATTTTATAAAAAATTACGTGTTTAACATTCTAACAATGTCTACTTACAAAACTTCTGAGCCACGATTAGAGGATGATTTATTTTCAGAACGAGCTCGTTTCT